TCTGTCCCTTATGACTGATGTTGAGAGATTCAAGAGAACCCATTTAGATATTTTAATTAATGCAGTCGAGCAGGCAGCTAAGCAATTTACTGCATTTCTTAGCTCTGACTTTTGCCTCTTACTGGTGAAAACAAGGGGAATGTGTTGACTGGCTCAATTAAATGGACTCCAAATCCAAGTCAATGTCATCCTGGAAGCCACTATGTGACCCTGAGGACTTAATTTCCATCGGACGGGCCTCTCTCTCCTCCTCAGTTATTAGTAAGTATTTGTTCACACCAGTCTCCTCTCAGAGCCAATGCACCTGCTCGTTTCTGCCACATGCTACAAGTCGCAGATCGTGACTCGGGGCCTGGGCTCCCCCGCGTGCTGCTTCTGTAACTCTCCTTTCCTTTGTCTGAGCTCTGCTTCTCCTTCACATCCTACTTCTTCCATGAGTGTCACCCTGGCCACTCCAGTCACCAATGATTCCCCTCCTCTCTGTACTTTAAGTAAAGTTGCTTCTGAAAGGCACCAGCTGTGTCACATAGGAAACATGTTACCATATGTCCGATCACCACCTGCCTCATCCTACCAGGGAACCTGTGGGTGTTGCCAGAGCACGAAGCACTCTAAGCTGCTTGCAGTTCAGGCTCAATGGCGTGGCTGGAGAGCTGTGCAGCACTACAAGTGCAGTGCCACTGTCTCCAGAGGGCATGGATCCTAGGAAGGGAAAAATCTGGGCAGCCACTGTGTACGAAGTTCAAAGCGGTTCGATTCCTGTTTTCTTCTCCTAAGACAGAAGAATACTTGATAGGGGGATACTTGGAGAAAACACCCCCTGTTCATTGTTTCCTCATTATTAGACAGCTCATTTAAATCGAAGACTTAGAAGATGAAACTGTCAAAAACAGTGCACAAACCTTGAAAAAAATCAAAGTAATAACTTGATGCTGGCCAAATTAACTAATGAACTAATTAACTATTAACTATTTGGCTAGTCATTTAGAAAATCATAAGGATAAGCAATGGATCACACGTCGAAAGCAATACTTCCAACTACAGCTGTAGGGCTGTGGATTGCCAAGGGGGAAGGGCGGTTTTTCTCATTCTACAGTCACACATTTACTTCTAAATCTGAAGACAGTACGTCAGGTCAGGAGCAGACGGCAGCCTCCAAAGCAGGGTGCTGGACACGCCTAGGCAGCAGAGGCTGCGCTGTGGGCTTACACAGAAAATACGTCTGCTGGATAAACTTCCATCAGTCCTGAGTTACGGTGCTGTAGGCTGTGCAGGGAGTCAACAAGATCTATTACCCAGAAACAAACATAAAATCAAGGTAATACATTGGTGTGTTGACAAAAATGCCGTGACCAGAATGTCCTGAGCCAGCAAACTTTACAAAGTCAAAACCAGACTCCCTCCTTGCAAGCTTCTGTCTCCCGCTCTACTCAGGCTCTTCCTCCTCGGAGAAAGGCAACGGTTCCCTCCCGAGGCTGTGGTCCATCAACCTGGGAAATACCCTTGACTTCTGTCTCCCCAACCCTACTTTCAGTTCCTCAGAGAATCTTGATGCCATCACCTTTGGAACAGATTTGGAGTCTCAGCTTCTCGCCACTTCCCTTGGCAGCGAGCAGGACCGTGCTATTTCTCTGACTGACGCCGGCACCTCTAACTGGTCTCCCTTCTCCATCCTGGCCTTTCCTCCCTGCCATCTACGCTACCTCAGTGTGCATCACAGGGGGGCCTGTTAGAAATCAGATCTGGTCTGCCCTGAACTGAGAGGCCCCCACCGGCTGTATCACCCCAAGTAAAGCTCAGATCTCTACAGTGATCCCCTCTCTCCCTCCCTTTTGTTGTGGTTCTGGGGATCGAACCCAAAGCCTTCACAGAGCTAAATCCCTAGCCCTCTTTTATTTTGAGACAGGGTCTTGTTAAGTTGCACGGGCTGGGCCCAAATTTATAATCCTGTCTCAGCCTCCCAGAGGAGTTTTATAGGCCCGCATCGCCATGCTCAGCTTTACAGTGATTACTAAATCCTGGCCAGCACCCCTCTGTTCAGTACTTCTCCATCCGGTCCTGTCCTTGGCTCCTCACCCGCTCCTCTGCTTGAGCTGCTCCCTGCCGTTTTGCTCACATGCTCCTGCCTCAGGGTCTTGTTGCTGTGCTCGCTCCAAAAACAGCACAACCAGAGCCTTCACTGCTATCAAACCTGCACCTGTCCCGCTTACAGTGAGGGCTGCCTCATCAGCCCGACACCCCCTCTCGCTCTCTTTACAGCTTTATTTCTCTCCCGAGCGCTTCTTAAAATTTAAAAAAATATTTCATTAAGACATGTTCGCAGTACACAACGGTGACATTCCTTGCGTGGTCCACGGACACCTCAACGTGTCTCAAACCTTTCCCTCTCCGCCCTCTCTTGGTCCTCTTCCCGTTCACAGAAGATCTGTCTCCCTACTGTCTGTTGTCTACCTTTATTTTGCTCTTTATTTACAATTTGGGCTTCTCAGATAAGAGGAACCATCAATATCTAAGCTCGTGTGTCTGGTTTACTTCACTTAACAGTACGGTCTCAAGGTGCATCCGTTTGTTTCTCCCTGGTGCTTCTTGCCGTCTGATGCATGGATGAATTCACTTAGTCATTCGCAGTAGTTTATGGCCCTTCCACTCAAATGAAGATGAGAATTTCTGTTTTTTCTTCTTCTACTGATGCATTCTTAGGGCCTCCAACAGAAGGTAGGCATTAAATAAATAATTCTTCAGTGGATGAGTAATATAGCAGTTACCATACAAATTTACCTGTTGCCCTGTCTCTCACAACACTGGGAACATTCTGAAGGCAGAAACTATGCTCTACTCCTATTTATATCCAAACACCAAGTGCTGGACACAGTGCATAGGAGGAATTCAACAAATGCACGTTGAATGAATACAAAAGGAGAGAAAGACAAAGTTGCTAATATTCACGAACCTTCAGCTTTTATAGAATTCATAAAGCAGGTGTACATCATAAAGCATCATAAGACCAATCCCTGCTTGAGAAAAACCCACAGTACAGCAGGGTGAGATGCAGAGAAATATGGACCCTCTGCCACGCAATCAGAGCCATCAGACTGCAAGAAAGGCCAAGGGCAGAGAAAGGAGAGGACCACGTGTCCGGAAAGCAATGAGAAGGGGCAGCACGGGGTTTGATGGCAGAAGAGAAGCCTGCCACACAGTGCGGGGAGGAGATCGGCTCGGCCCAGGGAGTCCACGGAGACACACCTGCATCTCCCATGCGGCTCCTTCTCTGCCCCGAGGCGCATCCTCTGTACAGTGCTCACCCGGGCAGGTAAGGTTCTCCCGGGCAGGTAAGGTTCTCCAAGGCAGCCTGTGCTCAGTAAGTAATAGCAAACCGGACAGCTGCATTCCCTTAGCCCTCCTCAAAGGAACCCACACCTGACGTCAGGGCCACTCGACGGCTCCATAGCTGCCCTTTAGAGCAGGTCACTTCCAACCACTGCCTCTGGACTCATCATGCTGGACACAGTAACAAGCAGGACCGGACCTCAGACAGCGGCCACTCAGAAACCCAGGGAAATCAAGCCCACACCTGCAACCCCAGCACTCTGAGAGGCCGAGGCAGGAGGACTGCACACTGACGCACAGCCTGGGCAACTTAGTGAGTCACAAATAAAAAAGGGCTGGGCCGAGATCAGTGTGAAAGCTCAGGGTGCCATCTCCAGTGCTGCAAGCAAACAGAAAATAGAAAAAGGAAAGAAAAGAAGCTTAGGGAACTGCCAGTCTCCTCCTGATGCCTGCCGCCCGGTCCTAATTCCTCCTTGCTGTTGTCCCTCTACTGCACGTCCTCAGAGCACTTATGACCTGAAAAGGCCCCATTCACTGATGTGTCCCTGTTTGCTGTCTGCTGATCCGCCCACAACGTGAGCCCCTCCAGGGCCAGGGCTGTGCCTGTCTCATTTGCTGTCTCGCCCGGTGTCCAGGTCAGCACTGGACACAGCAGGCACTTCCTGTACACCTGCCGTGGGCAGGGACACGGGAAACAGAGGTCTCGACACGTCCACTCGCAGCGCCTGCCGAGGCTTACGTAAGTGTCCCCAAGGCTCATCCCCAGCCCACCGGGTCCCGGGGGCACATTTCAGAGCTGCGGCCTAGCAGGCAGTCTTCTGGTCACCGGGCTACGCGCCTGGGGTGTATCAGGGCCCCAGCCCCTTCCCTGCCTCCCCCTTCTGCGTCCCAGCCTCACAGTGAATGATTCTGCCGTGTGCCATCAGCAATGGGGCCAACTGACCATGGACTGAAACCTTCAAAACGGTGAGCCAAAATGAACCTTTTCTCTTTAGAAGCTGAGAACCTCAGATTATTTGTTACAGTAATAGAAAGCTGACTAACACAGTTCCCAGAAAGCAGGTCCTCACGAGGCAGATGACAAACTTCAGCATCCACACATTCAGATCCATCAGGACCTTCTCTGCATTTTGTGTGCAGCACAAAGAATCTGGAGTTCTGATTTTAGGAAAAACTTTATTAATTCTTAGCTGTGTCAGGACAGCTCAGGTTCAGGCGACTCAAAAGAATGACTGTCAAGGTTTGAGGCCGGCACCTCACAGCAGCCTTTTCTCCCTGGCTGCCTCTATCTCGACATTTTGAATGTTTTATTGTGTCTGCATCTTACTGTAATCTCAGTGTTTCACTGTAAATCACTCAGAAGCACAATATTTCACCATATTTCTGGTATTAGAATCTGGGGATTCATCCAAATTAACTCCCAACCTCCAGTCAGGGCCACGACCAAATCGAACAGGATTTCTGCCCAATTGTTAAAGGGTTTCTGGGGAAATCACTTCCCTGCTAACTTGTTCCAGTGCCTCTCAATATTTTTATTCTCCCCTCAAGAGAAATGAGGGCAGTAGCGATCGTGCATCAGGCTCAAATGCTTAAGAAAACTGAGGGAATCATTTTGAGTGCACACACCCACCCACACACGCACGCACACACCCGTGCAGGTGCATTGTCCTTACCAACATAGCCCGGGGTCCCACAGGCTGTGGACATCACATCTCCTTTGCCTTCCATTTTTGACAATCCAAAGTCACTGATCATTATTTTGGACTCCTCGTCTGGACTGTAGTACAATAGGTTTTCAGGCTACAAAAAAAGAAAAAAAAAAAAAAAGAAGAAATTCACACATGACATTTTAAGCTGAGTTAATTAGGGGAGACTCACCCAATCACAAAGCCCGTTCCTAGAGAACACCCTTGGTCACTGGACACAGAGGCTGTGCCCAACCAGCAGGGTCTAATAACACGGTACAGAGCCCCACCCAGCATCCGGCTGGGGAGGTCTCCGCATGTCAGACCCTTTCCTTTACTAACATTTTGACTACCTGAAAAGATGAACCACATTTTGAGGCCGTGTCTTTTGGACTTGTTTTTAGTTCAAGAACTTATTCAATACTTCCTCAGAGGAAGGGGGATTCCCAGGACATAAAATCACTCTTGCAGGTGCACATCTGTCTCTTTTTATTGGCAACTCATGCCAGCTACTTTTCTCCAATCCAAGGGTCGCTGTCCCTGCCCTTAGTGACATCCCCTGGTGTCATGGAGCCTGGCAGATGGGTCACACTTAGAGCCTTGCCGAGGTCATCAGACACCGGTCCCCCTGCTCCTGGGAAGCAAAATTCATCTCAGAATGAGTCCCGAGTGGGCAGACACAGCACTTTCCAGCCATGCTTCCTCAGGACTTCAAGGTTCCGTTTGCCTTTCTGTAACACGTGGGTTGCCACGGTTTCTTGTTTGCACCCCTGAACATAGGACAGAGCTCAGACAGAGGTAACTCAGAGCAAATGTCTTCTGTTCCTTACTGTTCCCATGTTCCTGTCTTTGCTGCATACATGGGAGGGACACAGAGGAAGCAGACCTAGCAGACAGGAAGGCAATGAAACACCCCTGCCCGGCACTTTATGTAAAACGGGGGGACCTCACTGTCCCAGGCTTATGGAGACTGAGATGCTGCAGCTTGAACCCCGGCCCTGTCTACTGGCTGAGGAGAGGGTGCTCCTGCACTGGGGAGGGGAGGAGGCATCGGCTGACAATGCTGACCCTCGAGGGAGACACCGACTGTCAGGAGCAGTCACCTCTTGTCCGGGATGTCGCCTACCGGGAGCATGTGAAGATTTACTGGTGAATCCAGAACCTTGGCTCTCATTTACACTAAGCCTTAAGGGAAAGGCTCCATGAAGAGTCCAACAGGAAGCTCCCTTTCCCACCCTATCCCGCCCGCTCCCCTCCCCAGCCCAAGGGTGAAGAGGCTTTCTCCAGCTGGGGTCTGAGGTGAGATGAAATTTCAGGAACTGTTCTATGTAGAGTGACCAAGCTTGTTTACAAAAGCCTTTCTTGGCCTGGGTGTGACAGAATCACCTTCCAGGGTATTAAATGGTGGAGGATACCACCCGCTGGTGCACCCGAGAGGGTGGCCCTGGTGCCTGGGGTGAGTGGATTTGATGGGCAGCCGCTGCTGGGAAGGAACAAGGAACGGTGAGGCCTGCCAGAGACTCCCTCCGTCCTTGACAAAGCCCGCCAGGCCTCCCTCATCTTAGCAATGATCTAACTCCATCAGTATGGAGATAATCCCCACCCCTGAAATCTGGCCAATTTCTTCATCTTCTACTTTTGCCGTTATTAAAGGGAAAAGCTATTCAGGCACTTCTAGCAGAGGGGAAGTACTACAACAATGGGGTTCTGCAGTAGGAGTGAGAGATCGGACTCCACTCAGATACCACAAGGACGAGTGAAGATGCATAGCCAAGGAGCAGGGTAGGGAATCAGTGGGTAAAAAATCACTGTGAGGAAATCTCGGGAGTGAGAGTGAGGGGCTTCTGGCTGACCCAGCTCGGCAGAGCTTGTGGTGCAGGCGGGTCAGGGAACAGGCTCCTGAGGGAGGGCTCAGGACTTTGAATGTCATGGGTGTGGGATTCTTGCTAAAGGGCTGGGGGGCTCCTCCCACACTAAGGTCAGAGCCCAAGGTCAGGACTCAGAGAAGCCTGAATCCTGCTGGGCCCAACTCAAGTTTGGTCAAGGACAGAGTCTGGACAGTTCGAAAAGGTTCTCCACACAAGTGGCTGCGCATGAGCACCCCAACCTGTCTCGGAGCTCTGAAGTTCAGGTGCTCAGGCCCTTATTCTTTGTCTATGTCCAAGTTCTTGGCTGCCTTTAACGACAGTCCCACTACGTCCTCAGCAAGAATCACCTACCCTTAGATCTCCTCTTAGTAACTGTTTAGCTCCCCAGTCCTCTGTTTCCCTGACTTGCATCACCATTTGTTCTTGCTGTATCAGGAACTGAGTTCAATCTCTTTCCTCTAACACAACAGTCTTAAATAAAGGCTTTCTTACCGTTTTAACAAGTGTCAAAATAATTCTGTTTTTAACAGAACCCAAAGGAAGAAATACAATCTTTCACTCACAATAACAACACAAAAAGAAATGGGATTCAATAGTTACAGTGACAATTGTGGGTGATGCATGAAATCAGAAGAAAATCAAGCATGTGCTGAAGGATGTTTTCAAATGAGTTTTAAAAGAAAACAGAACAGGCCAATCAACAGTTGAAATAGGAAAAAAGCTTAGGAAATGGGGGGACATATTCTAATCACAAAGTGCATGTGGTTCACTATTTTTCTGAATGTTTAGGGATTATCCACTGATAAACCGATCCAATCACAGGTATAGAAAGGGGTGTTAAACAGTTTCTGATTTTTAATCCTCCTTGCCCCAGGACTTCTGTAGCTGCAGAAGTAAGGAAGAAGCGGAAAGCAAGTGATCTCATGGCAATGAACGAGGCCTGGGGCAGGCAAGGGACTTCCATGGGCCAACTGGCTCTCCATACAGTCTTCCCATCAGGGATTCCTTTAGATCAATAAAATGCTGCTCTGAAGAATGGTTACCCCTGGGGAGGTTAAATCAACTGGACATTTGCAGTTCAGATGGGCACTTTGAACTGGCTTAAGACTTAGTAACTGACACGAGTGAGGCTTTTGCTGAGTGGGCAAGGGGACTGGGGGAGGAGGACGCAGAGGAGGACGGGAGATGTGGTCCCAGGACACAGCAGGAGGCCTGTGGGTGGGGCCACAGAGACGGACCTTGCCACACACTTGCTATTCTTCCTGGGGTCCTAAAAGGCCAAGCTCTCATCTGAGAAATTATTTTGCTGCATATTGTGGCACCTTTGCAAGACAATGGGTGGTGGCCAATCCCAGAGTAGAAATACCAATCTCAGCCCCTGACAATGAATCTACACCCTTCCAGTGAAGTTCATGCTATATACAATCACATTCCTAATCCCCCACTTGACACAACCTGGGCCCCCAGCAGACATCGCAGAGCCTAGAGACAGTTTTGGTGGGAGCCACTGTGGGAGTGACACTGGTGTCTACCTGGAAGAAGCCAAACACAGTGCTAAGGATCTGGGAGGCCCAGGAAGTCTCTTGCACAAAGAAAGGTCCAGCTCCAAATGTCAGTAGTGTGGGGGCGGAGAAACTCTACCTCAACCCGAAGTGGCAATCGTTGGGCACTTCCTGTCTCCCTCCCTGTGTTCTGAAACAAGAACGACGGAATTTCTCCAGTAGTTTCTTGGGGCAGCAAGACACGGGACCACCTTCTGGAAGAAGGCGGAGGTACAGCGTGTCTGCATGGGGAAGGGAGTGTCCCAGACTACATACTTATCCTTGACATCATCAAGTCCTCTTGCTCCGGAATCACAGAAAGAAATGTACGGAGACACAGAATTTGGGTTAAAAAACAAAGCCTTTACTTGTTAGCGAGGGGGACCACCAGAAACTCGTCTGATTGATGTCTGCCCTGTCCTTTGTTTTAACATTTCCTTTTATATCTTCTTTTAGCCATTACCTCATTCCTGGTGGTCTTAGTAAAATTTCTGCTTCTCTTTTACAACTAGTTCTTATTAATGGTGATGGTCACAGATATATAACAAACAGATGGTGCTTAAAACACATACATTGTAAATTACCCAAACAATTCTACTTTGCTTTTCTCCAGGTTAAATGTTATCTACAGTTAAGTTTCAGTTAGCCATCACCTTAAACAATAAGAGTTACGGGAAAGGTAAATCTTAAAGGAATGCATTACTTATTCTACTTCAGCTACCTTAACAACTAACACATAGTTTAAATTTTCTCTACCATTCTACTGCTTTAGCCTGGATTACACAGGTGATTTTAATATCCCAATACAATGTTTAATATCTATGAAAACCCAATATTGCAATCCCGACTTCCTCCCCCTAGATCAAATTGGTGTGTGCCTCTGAAAGAGGCCATAACGAAGTCCTAAAGTGGCTTCCTTCCCACCATGAGAAGCCTGGGGATCTCACAGCTCCACAGGCTGGCGTCACAAGTACTTTTCCACCGCACTGTGTGGGAGTAAAAGTGATCTCCCATCCAGCCGACTGCCTCCCCTGGTTACAGCTCATCTGCTCTGAAATTATTCCTCTAATAATCACAGACACACCTCTGGTCACAGCACTAACTTGTTAAGCAACAGCTGCCTGTTATGTTCTGAAAGCAAAGAACTGGCACTTGATGGGGGTGCACGAGAGCAGAGAGGGCCCTACAGCCTGGCATGGAGGTGCCAGGCTGGCTTTCTGGCCCTGCTCTGGCTCCTTGCAGAGGCTCAGACCCAAAACCTAGCCTGTCAAGCTCACAGCACATTCACTGGTCAAGAAGTCTGCAAAGGCAGTGCTGAAAGGACAGACAGGTCCCCAGCTCTTTGGTCCGCTTACTTTCCAGAAGCAGTTTGCAGAGTAGTGCCAGCGTCTCCCACAAACCCTAGAAGTGTGGTTCCCCACCTCCTGTAGACTCACAAAATCAGAAGCTCTGGGGAGCCAGCAAGAGGTTTTCCGCCCTCCAGCCAATCTGATATGAGCTAACGTTTTGTGTCTCTAAAAAGAGACCACAGAAAGGTCTTGCAAGGAAACGTGGAAATCAAAATGGGCAAACAAGAAATTGGCAGAAAATGATACATGGAAAGAACAGAAAACTTGACAGCAAGTCTTTTTTTTTGGTACTGGGGATCAAACTTGGGACCTTGTGATTGTGAGGCAGGCGGCGGAACCACTGAGCTAAATCCCTAGCCCAGCAAGTCTTTTTGTGGTGCTAGGGAGGGAACCTAGGGCTTGGAGTATGTGAGGCAAGCTCTCACCGAGCTACATGTGCAGCCCAAGCGGGTCTTTATGACAGGGCAAGAGGCAGGTGCCGAACCTGGGCAAAGGTTTAGGATTCATTGTTTCTTTCCTTTGGCAGTGCTGGGGATCAAACTCATGGCCTCGTGCATGCTAAGCAGGTTTTCTACCAGGGAGCCACGCCCCCAGACCATGAGTGCTTTTGTAAGTCGGTCTGGATTCCCTCGTTTCATGCAGCATGATTCAGTACAGCCCAACCCTAGTATTTATGTGTGAGGGTGTGGATGTGGTTTGCGGCAGGATTTCCATCTGGACTGGTGCAGGGAGCTCCGGGGACTGCACACGTAACTCTGTAGCATGAAGTCGCATTACTTTCTGGGGTAACAAGTCTGCTGTTCACTGTTTCTCAAGTCCATGTGGGTTCTCATCTACCCTTCACTGGCTACACAGACCTGGGCTGGCGGAGGGGAAGGTGATGCTAAGGTGCCCACAATAAGGTCCAGATCTTCCCGGGCGAATGGGTGAAGGGTCACTATGTCAAAAGAAAGGAAGCTTCAGGGCCCTGGGAGAGAGCTGGGCTACAGCTCATTAACCCACCCTCCTGCTCTTATCTCCAATGTCCTTTCTCTTTCACGCTGTCTGTCTACGGCTCCTTCCCTTTCATACGGTGTGTTGTGGTGGAATGGGGCTGGAATGGGGGGGGACAAGGGTCTGAAGAACGGCACGGGGTGAAAGGTTTTTATGTCTTGAACAGAATGATCTTGTAGATGGACTTGAAGCAATCCACCGTCTACCTCTCCGGGACCCTTTGGCTGCATAATGGCTACAAAGTCTCCCAGACAACGGCCAACAACATTGATTTTCATCTTTTTCTAAGCCACTTCTGGGCCTCAAATACCCATAGTTTATTCTACTCAAAGCACCCCCATCCCTCCACCAAAACCACTCCTCTTGGACAGGTGCACTGTGGGTTGTAGAGTGGCCAGGTGTTGCTCAGCAGCAGCCTCACCTTGAGGTCCCTGTGGACAATGCCCATTCTGTGGAGATAGTACACGGCATCCAAGACTTGGCGGATCAGAGTGCTGGCATCTTTCTCTGTGTAAAATCCCTTCTCCACTATCCGATCAAATAGCTCTCCACCGGATACACTGTTTAAAAAAGAAACAAAGGAGAGGTGAGGACTTGTTGAACTGTACAGGAATAAGCATCAATCAGAGTTTTGCAAGTGAAAAAGACCCGAAGGTGATTTCTAAAATGAATCCACTTTTCAGTGTAGATCCTGCCCCACCTCTTCCCCAGAAAGTGAGCCGGGGTCAGGACAATAGAAATGATCAGAATGGAGTCAAGTGAATAAAACCAGGACCGTGGACCAGCCGTGCCTCAGATGCCTCTCCTGACCTGGCCCTTGTCCTGTTCTGACGCTGTAAGTCTGAATATCAGATACAGGGAGATGGCACCGGACCAGGTGTCTCCTTTGCATGAGGGCATGGCCTTACGTGACCAGGGAGCGCCTCAGGCAGAGCAGGGGCCTCCCACAGGAGGTCTGGGATTCCATTGGCACAAGAAATAATACTGAGAATCAACAAATGGGATCATATCAACTTATAACGCTTCTGCACGGCCAAGGAAACAAGCCACAGAGTGGAGAGACAACCTACAGAACAGGAAGGAAAGTTTGCCAGCTATTCCTTGAATGGAGGACCAACATCTAGAATAGATGAAGAACTCAAAAAAATTAGAACTCCAAATAAAAGACCCAATCATAAAATGGGCAATCAAAATGACTAGATACTTCTCAGAAGTACAAATGGCTAATAAATAATGAAAAAATGTTCAACATCACTGGATATTGGAGAAATTAATGGTTCTCAAGAAATAATAACAAATGCTGGCAAGGATGTGGAGGAAACGGAACGCTTCTACAGTGTTGGTAAAACCACTGTGAAAATCAGTGTGGAGACTCCTCAGAAAACTAAAATTAGAAATTCCACTTGACCCGGCTATTCCCCTTCTAGGTATCTTCCCAAAAGAGTTCAAAACAGCATACTCTAGGGACAGATTGGTACCCATGTTTATAGCAGCACAATTTATAAAAGGTAAATCCTGGGAACAGCCTATATGCCCATCAACAGATGAATGGATAAAGCAAATGTAGTCCAGTATTCATACACAGTGGAGTACTACTCTGCCATAAACAAAGATAAACTTGAGGCATTCATAGGTAAATGGATGAAACAAGGCCCCAATTTTAAGTGAAATAAGTCAGACACACAAGCTTAAATACCACATGGTTCCTCTTATACGAGCAACTATATATCCATATGGTGACATATTATTAACAGAAAGGAAGATACATCAATAGGAAGTAGGGAGATCTTTTTCAAATGCAGGAGAGTAACAGATGGAGGACAGTGGATAGGAAAAAAAGAATTGAAGGGAAAAATGATGAAAATAGAGCTTTGCAAATGGGAAGGGGACCCAGAGCTGGAAGGGGCAGAGGGGGCGGGGAGGGAAAGAAAAAAGAATCCAGATGTATCGGGTACATGTACCGATTCCCCGTCATAACTGTGATCACTGTGTGCGGCAAACATGCACCACAAAAGAGAACTGACCTAAAAGTGGCTAAAACAAGAAATACGTAGAAAATAACCAAGGAACTCACAAACAAAGCCTATGAACTGTTTAAAAACAAATAGGAGCTCTGAGTTCTTGACTAACTTCTGCTCCTAAGCTCCTGAGCGTACGAGCACTCTTGGGATTACTGGACCTTGTGTTTTTTTCTGTAAAACAAGAGCATTAATCTAGTAACCATTTTCAACAGTGAGCAGGCACACACCCTTGGCGGCATCAGAAGTCCAAAACCACTTGTGCTTAAAAAATACTATACCACATTGCTTTGCTGCAGTGTTGGTGACAATGTTTCATTTTAAGTGGCTTTGAATTTTGGATTACATTTAAGAGGCATTTTTTGCATTTATGGAAATAGGGACTGTGCTGGCAGGGCCCGGGACTCACAGACAAAATCCCTCATCCCTTTCAGCTCTGACATTTTACTACGTCCTGCATCGAATGCCATCATGGAACGGTACAGTCCAGAACCGAAACAACCCGCTTCATCTCAACTTTTTAGTTTAAATAATTAAGCCAACTTGGAAATAAACTTCAGGGACACATTAACAGTATTGAAAAAGAAAAGACACACATTTATTTGAAATATTAAAACCATAAACCAATTTTAAAACAACTTAAGCAGCTTTACTACCATAAAAGCTATGTCTTAGCAGCAATACACCCTCATACACAAAGATATGAATCATTTCCTGCTAGTCACGGCAATTAGTGTGTAATAGCTGATCCACTGGAACCTGACTGAAAAAAACTAATAAAGAAAAAGAAAACAATTGCAGCTATAAAACTGCCTTCGTGTTTTAGTTTTTTTCCATTACCTGTGGTTATTCCCCGAGAAAACTGTATTTGGACAGTGTTTCATTTCCAAAGCAAACTGACAATCTAGATGAGAACGGAAAGGCACTCAGGAGAAATAAAAAGCAACTCAAAGAGTGAGATAACATGGAAATCGGAGAGACGACACTACATTTTGACAACCATGTTGTCTAAATGACCCATCTGTAGGTAAGCTGAGCTCCCGATACCAATTTCTCTCCAATCCTTGTTTTTTGAGACTCTTTCGCCAGTGAGTTCTGGTGTGTGGAAGTCTGCAGGACGCAAGGATGTGCTGCAGAGGAGAGACAGCTGTCGGGGCAAGGTGAAGCGGGGTTCCCCGAGACTGTCACCCACGTACATGTTCACATGAGAGCCCTTTACGAGACAGAGCCAGCGGCTGTAATCGGCAGCAATCAAAAGGGGGAGCAATCAGTTTTGTTTCTGATCTTCCACACCCTCTACCACCGGGCCACCTTCCCGTGGCGGCATCCCTAGCTGGGGTCCAGCGCTGTCCCCCCAATGTCCTGCCGGCAGCCGCCTTCTCCTCTCCCTGTGGCTGGGCAGGACAGCAGACAAGAATGTGCAGCCCACCTCCTGCTCTGAGGTCTCCACAGCCCCCCGCCTCCCTCAGAGTGATCTGTCCTGCTTCCCACTCTCTCCAGCCCCTTCATTCTGCCGTGGGATAGACCAGGTATTGGTGAGTTCTGCGGAATGAAGACACTTGCACCACCATGGTGCAGCGATGCAGTACGACCTGCACTGATACCGAAGCACAGTTCGCACCGCTGCAGGGCCTCAGGGCTCTGCGCATTCAACATTCTCCTTAAATTTCAAGTGGCACCAGGGCTCTGTTTTCTCTGAACATTACTCAGAAATAATTTGGTTTCCTTAGAAGCCGAGAAACAGAATGTTTAGAAACTTGACAATAAAAAAGTGACAATATTAATTTAAAAATCTTAAATTTGCAAAGCACTTTAGACATGAAACATGCTTTTTAAAAGCCTGCTCTTATGGACCGATTCCCTCCTCCCCCAGTTCCTAAGCTGGAGCCATAAGCACAGATATGACAGCATTCAGAGATAGAGCCTTTGGGAAGTACTGAGGTTTAGATAAGTTCATGAGGGTGAGGCCCCCAGGACGGAGCTAGGGCCCCTAGAAGAGGAGGAAGAGAGACGGCCACTTTCCTTCTGCCATGTGAGGACACTGAGAGGAGGCATCCATCTGTAAACCAGGATGAGAACCAAATCTGATCCTGCTTCCTGTCTATGGTGTTTTGTTACACAGCCAGAGCTGACCAAGACACCTATTCTCAAAACCACCTGTGAAGCAAGCAGGGCTAGGATTACTGTCCTAGAAACACTGCTGGAGAGAGAACCTTGGCACCATGGTGAGGTGCAGGTTTCATTCTCAGGCCAGTAAGGCAGGCTTCAGTGGGCTGTGTGGCTGCAAAGCTGACTGGCAAGTTGCTTTCCCAAGTCAATAACCTTCTACGAGAGCCTCCCATGTTGTGCCTTACAGCTGTATGTTATGAAAGGGATGCTTGGGCAACCCAAGCATCAGAATGAAATTTAGAAGGGATAGGGTCAGGATATTGGGGAAAATGGGTACAACCATAAAAATAGATTAACAAATAAATCAATGTAGCTGTCTTAGTGTTTCCTTTTGCAAATACCACAATACAACAGACTGGGTATGTTGTAAAGAGAAGTGGTTTATTTTGGTTTATGGTTCTGGTCCAAGGTTGAGGAGCTGCATTGGATGACGTCAGGGAGTGCACAAGGGACCTAGCTAACTTGGGTTTTATAGCAGAACCACTGGAGAGACAATTCATTAGCCCACTGATGAATTCATCACATGAACGGATTAATCCACTCATGAGGGGGCCCTTAATCACCTCTTAAAGATCCCATCTGCTCCACCTCTTAATATCTCATAACGAGCATTCAATTTCAACATGAGTTTCAGAACAGACAAACCATTTTCAAACCTTAGCAGCAGCTACTGAGCAACTCTGCTTTAGGGATGCAGATAGGGAAAGGTAAAACTTGCTACCAAGACTGAGGAAGGAGAAATCAGAAAAAACCATAAAAATGCTCTGCTTTTTTGAATTCCAACCTAGGTTTATTTTGGACAACCTGCCTTTGTCTCTGATCTTCCTCGTCTACTATGGGGTAGTGCTCTCGGATTGCGTGGAATTTCAAACATGCAAATGTGAAACAGTTTGGTGGAGTAGTCTCAGCAGACGTTCAGTTCATTTGTAAAATAATATGTGAGTCTCGTCCAATTGAAAGAAAATAATTGTCAACGTATCAGATTGAAAATAATATTTCAAAGTTGCTAGACCTAGAAAACCACTGACTGCACCCTGGTATACTGCAATGCCATGTAACTCCTGTCAGTACACCGTGCAGCCTTAGTAACTTTGTCAGTATACCATGCTATTATTTACATGCCCTTGAACTACTCCACCCAATTTTAGGAGATATATCCTGTTACCTTAAAATTTACCACTAGTTATAATTGAAAATGTTTATATCTTTTCACAATATCAACTCCAAATTCGTGAGAAGGAAGTACTTCGGTTAATGCTGGAAGGTGGGTGCCATCGATCTATCACTACTGCATGTTAGTTAGACCTAACAAAGTAGCACGAAGAAGGCTGCACGGTACAGTGCTGTGAGAAGTCTAAGATAACTAGAACGGT